TCTTCTTCTTCGGATAGAAAGTGGAACAATTAGGGGCTATATTTTGCCAATTGTTTTTCTTTTTCTTTAAAATAAAAAGCAACAAGGATCAATTATTTCTTCAGGAACCAAACTGTTGGAATTAAAATTATGATTCTCCTCTCAGCGCTAGTTTCCAACATGGCTTTCAAAAATTTAGTTGTAGAAGAGAATGTCGAAAAAGGCAAAAGATATATTGTACACGAAGGAAAAAAAAAGGTAGTAAGCATATCAAACCAAAATTACCGAGCTTCAAAGAAAACATAACCCATAGAAAGAAAAATAGCCATATTCGGATTGCTATTGTTTAAGCAAAAAGTTTAGGATTAATCATCTGACAGTGTATACACTTTCACCATTGACACATAATTCGAATTTAAATTTAAAACTTAAATTTTGCGTATGTGTCATATATCCAACCTTGATAGTGTATATGCCGTCAGTGTATATAAGATTTACTCAGTTTGATGCTTTTTATAAACACATTTTTTAATTATCTTTTTATCTTTCATACATCTATAGTATATCTTTTAACCAAAACTTCAAAAAATTCATATTTTGTGATCACCTTTTTAACCTCACTCATATCTACAATATTTTTTATTTACCAAAACTTCAAAATTTCACATTTTTTATTTTTAAACTAGCAATCCAGAGTATGATTTTCAATAGGGTCGGACTAGTCCGAGTCCAATCCGTTCAACTCGATAAAAAGCTCGATGAATCTGCAATATCAGTGAGCTGGGCTGAGTTTGGGCTTCAAAACTAGGCTCTCATTAACTATGAGCCGAGCTTGGGATTTATCAGATTCAAACCCGATATAGGCCTGGCCCTACCTAGATATATATATATTATAATATAGGTAATATTTATATTTTGATTTTATACTGATATATATAGGTAATATACATAATATTTATGTTTTGGTATTATATTATATACAATTAATCAATTCTATACCCAATTATATGATATTTTTATTGAGTAATTATTTTTTATTCATTGAATAAATTTTTGTCATAGCATAATATTAATTGATTTCTTTTTGTGTTGGTATGTTTGTATTCAAGTCACAAGACTATGAAAAAATTCCAATAGTTGAAAATATATTGGCTTATGATCACATATTTCATTACTATTTTCTATTTACTTCGAACAAAATAAATATAAATATTGTTGAAAAAAATATTGATTTATACTTTTTAAGAACCATTACTCGTTCATATTTAGTTTTAATGTTGTACTCATGTGAATGTTAAATTAGTTTTACAACTTAATAGTTATAGAAATTATATTAATAAAATTAATTGATAAGTGAATTTAGACTAAATTCAAATAAGATTCATAACTCGAATATTATGAGAGTTGAATATAAGTTTTACATTTATTAGCTCGAAACTCGTAACCTGAAATTTGAAGGTGTCACAAATTAAATGAGTTGGCCTCGAGCTTACAAAAGTCCCGACTCATTAGACCTAATTTACTGGCCTAATCCAAAGTGGGCTACCCGGAGCACGATTTCACTCCATATCATAGGATAAGCACAAGCGTTTCCGCTAATTACGGATCTGGCTTTGGCAATTTTAATTTTCCCTTGTTTTGGGGTGACTTGGGTGGCACTTGGCAGGTTCAATTGCGCTGCAAAATAATTGTGCGAAAATCGATGGTGAAAACTTCACCCACGTGGACTGGCACTGATCTGATACTAATTTAAATCCACGTTTGCCGTACTCATCTATGGCGACATCCGCTGGTCAGAGTTGGGGACGACAGTATCAAATTAATACGAATTTACCTTTTTGCCCAATCCGTAGCCCTCACCAGCGTCCTAATCGTTCGTGTGATCCCTCTCTGCATTCCTTTTTCATTAGTCTTCGCACCTCCCTATCCCCGGCCCGCCGTCCCCACAAGGGGGAGGTGGAATTCAAGAACAAGAGGAGGAAAAAAGAGGAATTTGAACTCATGACATCCAGTTTCTAAAACGTTTCAACCTTTTGACTTTTACATCAAGACCCTTGTCAAACTGTTTTTTTGTCCACATTCATGGAATTGATAAATAAAACAAAAAAAGAGGAAAGTACATGGATTTAAAAGTTTAGAAGTGAGATTAAAATCATGTGCTAATACATGTTCGGCTTCTTCGCTAATAAGATCGAATCACTGCTCCTAAGAAATCATCTCGAATCAAACTGTCAATGTGAAAACTGTATTGATATATTATTTTTAAGTAAAAATACTGCAATCAAATTATGATACAAATTGTACAGTTAGTCATTGGTTGACTCATATTTGTTAATGATTTACCGCTACTATTTAACAGATGCAATTGTCTTAATTTGTTGCATATGCAGGTTAAATTATAAAAAAGGCTACTTAGGAGTATAACCTCAATTGGAAATGATTTAGTGTTGAATTGTCGGTAAATATATTTACATTCAATTGCAAGCCCTCTTACCCTCTATATCTATATCCAATAGATTGTTTAGGGCGTGTGTTGGATTCTAGATTTTCAAAGAAAATTTGTAACGTTTTCGTAGACACATTTTTCAATTATTTTTTTATCTCGCATATTTCAAATCATTATAGTAATTTTTTTTTGCCAAAAAAATTCAGAAAAATGCAATCCAAACAAAGCCTTAGTTAATTTGGTTAAAGAATCTCTATTTCATAAATGAACTCCTTACCAAGGTGATAAATCATGAACATCACAAAATGACATTAAAATATGCTTTTTGATGAAAGTACAAATACGGGAAATTGACATTTAAATCAAGAACATCGTAACATGCAGGCAGGTTAGATAGTTTATTGCATGGGTTTATCTATAAAATGTGGCCAAATTGGATTCCACGGTTATTATTAAAGTATAGCTTGGGGTTTAATCGGGATGGTTTACACGTCAGGCTATATTTCATGGCGCACCTTGCAGATTTTATTAGGCAATCAATAAGCACCATCATGTCCTAATTCGCTTTTTTTTTTTTTTTTTGTTTCTTTTTCGACTGAGCTTGCCACTTAAATCAGATCCTTTCACAAAGTGCTTGATCACTTTAAAAATGCTGAAGCAGCCACCATAATAATAATAATTAATAAAAAATAAATGATGCTTATTCATCATCCGATTCTTGTTATTGCACTTGATTACTGTTTCTCTTTTGCTTAGGTTTAATTAATCATTTATTACCGTTCTGGCATTCAAAACGGTTATGATAATGCTCTAATTTTGCATGTCAATCCTCAACTATTCCACGGAACAGGGCAAATGAGAAAAATGATTATACTTGCAAGTTAACAACTAGAAATGCAGTAGCAATTGAGATGTAAAACTATCATTGTATATTATCATAGTTATGATTTTTCTGACAAGTACTCATTAATATTTGTTTGAGTAAATTTTATATATACTGATAGTGTATACATTAATGTCGTTTGATTTATAGCATACGTACAAAAGTTAAATTTTAAATTTAAATTTTATATAATTGTCATTTATCCAACGCTGATAGTGTATGCATTGTCAATATATAAAATATTATTTGTTAGCAACACTTAAATTATATCTAATTTATCATTTGAATAGGCACCGTTATAATTATTGTATGTGAAAACTAACACCTGAAACTGCTGTGTATACAATGAAGGAAGAAAAAAAAAAAAAATTCCGTGGTCACTCAAGGTATAAAGTGCCGGTGAAAGTGAAAATCGTTCAAAAAAGAAGTCGCGTAACCTCCGTGACTAGAAAGAGAAGGAAGGATGGCAAAATGGACAAATTACAATCACATTTAAGCCAGATCTGCTAGCCGACAAACCAGGAGGTCGGCAACTGTCGGCCGATGAACTTGGGAGACAAAATCGGCCTTCAAAATTCCGAGAGCCCCTCCAAAATTATTATTTTTTCTACAGAAAACCCTCGAAAATCATTTTTAAATCCAAAAAAAAAAAAAAGAAGATGAAAGAGTACTTTCCATAACAGAATACTGAAAAAATTAACCTTCACTCATAGTCCCCAGATTTGATATCATTTATTTTATTTTGTACCCCTATTTAAATAGTAATTTCAAATATTCCTCCCTATTTACTCCCCTGGCCCCTCTCTTCCCTACTCTGCTAAAATTAACCAAAGCCTCTCCCTCTCTCATTACCTTTGGCTTTCCAATTTCCATCATCATCACCATCATAATCATCTCTTTCGCCCTCAGTCTAAATCTGAAAAGCAGCCCTTTCTCTTTCTTCCTATATGGTTTCTTGAATATCTCCTGAATATATGAGAGAGAACTAGTGAAATTAGCTAAAGCTGGTCAAAGGAAGCAATTAAAGTTTCTGCTTGTGATAAGGCCAATACAACACATGGTCCTTAATTTCTGCTCAAGTCTTCATTTCCTCGAGCCTCCGTCAATCATTGTACGTGATTAATTGCAAACCTTTTTGTATTTTGGTTCTGCTTGATCATGATTGTACATCATTTGGGTAAAAACATTTGCTCTTTGGTTGGATTTTAGGCTTGGCTTTGCTGTACTCGTTTTCATCTGTTGTTTTGAACGCATATTTTCCTTCTACATCGGTTAAGATTTTTTCCGCTCCTATATTTTTGTTAAGAAGTTTATAAGTAAAACTACAAAATTTTCGACTTTGCTCCAACCAAAGCTATTGCATCGTTTGCCTCATTATGCCTTTCTGATCTCATTCGAATCCCAATTATGTAGGAACTAACTTGTATTCTGACATGTCAGAATTTGTTTTTTCAAGTGATGGGTTTTTAGTTAAAGAAGCGAGGATTTTGTTTTTAGCATCTCTTCGTTTCCACAATCTGGATGAGGATTTGAGTTTTGCTATTTTCCGTTTGGGGTTGATTTTTACTTTATTATTGTTTAAATTTTCTCTTTTTATTAGTTAACTTGCCATGGTTATTGGTGCATTACCTTATTCATAGATTCTGATTATTTCTAGTTACGTACTAATTTTTCAGGTGAGTAAAGTTGAATCCCGTTAATGTGAATCATGGAAACTGCTGAAGTTGAAGAAATTTTGCTCTTAATTGGGGAACCAAAGGTATGCTAATTGGTATATTCTGCCTTTAGGTTGTTGGATGGTTCTATATATTGGATGTTTGGAGGGTTCTGATGTACATGTTTGTCTGACTCGTTTTGATTCTTTTTCCTTTAGTACTTGATATTTGGCATTTTGTTCTCAATGAAAGGTTTTGTCTAACGGTACACTTATGCTTTTTAATTCAGCCATTTTGGTGTATGATGATTCTCTTTGAAAAAATGACACTTTTGTTAATAATAATAGTTGGGTCATGTTTGGTAGCAGGATTTAGTTTGATTACGTTAGGAAAAAATATAGTTCACCTGATGAATTGGAGGTACTTTTGAGGGCATTGAATCCAATTTGTTGCAGCATCTTTGATGGTTTAACTCTTTTGTTGTGTTATGTAATATCAATCACAACTTTCTAAGGTCTTTATTGTAATATCATGAATGTTGCAAGCAATTGACAAAAAGACAAAAAATGTGGTTGGTTTTGTAGTTGCATGGAGGGATGTGTAAGAGTTTATCAGCAATTTATGCTAAAGTATTGGGGATATTTCCTGACTTGGAAGCAGCAAGGCCAAGAAGTACATCAGGCATTCAAGCATTGTGTGCATTGCACATTGCCCTTGAGAAGACGAAGAATATTCTTCAACACTGTGCAGAGTGTAGTAAACTTTACTTGGTATGGCTGTGATCTTGTTTACATGTGGTGTTTATCTAAGCTATTTTTTTCTTGACTTTGGTTCTCAATTCGTCCCCTCACACTAAACGTCATAAAAAATCTAACCTGCATTTGCCATTTAGTGAACTATTCGTTTTTTTCTGGTTGTCATTTTGGTAACCAGAAGATACGATTTATCTCCTCGCTTTCCTGTTATTTGGATAGACAGCTACTAGGAAATATTTGATTGCGTGAAAACAGTGGCGACTCAGCTGTTTTTCTGATAGTACAATGACTTGCATGCTATTCCTCATAGTTGGAATTTTGGACTTTATCATACTGAAAGCCGTCGAATTTTATTTCTTCTTTCTCCACTTATTCACTTAACACATTCTTTTGATCAGGCTATAACTGGTGACTCTGTTGTTCTAAAGTTCGAGAAAGGCAAGATGCGCTCTTGAAGATGGTCTGAGGCGTGTCGAAGATATTGTTCCACAAGCTATTGGTTCACAGGTAACGTTTATATTAGTTCTTTCTTTTAGTGATCTAACTTGATCCTGCTACTACTGTTAGTCTTTGATGTGGTCCAATACATGTATGCTCTAATCAGTCTTGCATGTATTAATTAAGCATCATTAATATTTCATTAACGGACATTTGAAGTGCTTGTGTATTGCAAAGACGATTTTGGATCAAGATAAGTATGTGGTTTTGCTACTTTTAAACTGGTTGAAAAATAATGTTTTAGCTATTTTTTCGGGGCAACTTGAGATTTGAGCATTTCGGACATTGGTTTGTTCAAATTTTACCATATCTTCTGGACTTTTGAGCCTCATCCTGTAGATCTATCTGCCTTATGCATCGTAAATGTTGCAGTCATCTCCTCCTCCTCTTCTATTGCTTTTCATTTAAGTTCTTAACCTAGTAGTGTGCATTCTCCTTTTGTATTTCATTGGTTCTTCTTGAAGGAAGCGATGTCAACCCAGCCTTTTTCTAATTTCAGATATCAGAAATTTTGATTGATCTTATGGGGATTGAATTCTCACTTGATTCGATGGAGAAACAAGTTGGTGACGAGATAATTGCATTGCTCCAGCAAGGTAGAAAATTCAACAACTCTAACGACACTGGTGAACTTGAATCTTTTCACCAGGCTGCTTCTAGACTTGGTATCACATCTTCAAGAGCTGCACTTAGAGAGAGACGGGCTTTGAAGAAACTTATAGACAGAGCTCGTGCTGAGGAAGACAAAAGAAAGGAATCAATTGTGGCTTATCTTTTGCATCTAATGAGAAAATATCAAAATTATTTAGAAATGAATTTTCGGATGATAATGACTCACAGGGTTCTACACCTTGTTCTCCAACTGTTCAAGGATCATTTGAGGATGGTAGTGGGCCTGGAATTAATGGCCATGCCTTTGACAGACAACTCTCAAAACTCAGCTCTTTTAACTTCAAGCCAAACTTCAGGAGATCTGGGCAGATTCCTGTCCTCCTGAAGAATTAAGGTGCCCAATATCATTGCAACTCATGTATGATCCTGTAATTATTGCTTCTGGACAGACGTATGAAAGAATCTGCATAGAGAAGTGGTTCAGCGATGGGCACAAGACATGCCCAAAAACTCAGCAGCAGCTGTGTCATCTTGGATTGACTCCAAATTACTGTGTAAAGGGTCTAGTTGCTAGTTGGTGTGAACAGAATGGAGTTCCTGTTCCAGATGGCCCTCCCGAGTCTCTTGATCTGAACTACTGGAGATTGGCTCTGTCAGACAGTGATACTGCAAAATCAAAATTAACCATAATGTTGGGTACTTCAAGTTCAAGGGTGTGAAGGTGGTACCCTTGGAGGATAGTGGTGTTATTGAGGAAGCTGAAGGAAATGAAGTTGAAGATGTTTCTCCACAGGAGCATGAATGTGGGGTCAATTTATTCGAAAGTATAAAGACTTTTTGGTCATCTTAGAAAAAGAAGACGACATAACAAAACAGTGCAAAGTGGTAGAACAGATAAGGCACTTGCTAAAGGATGATGAAGAAGCCAGAATATACATGGGGGCAAATGGTTTTGTTGAAGCATTATTGCGGTTTTTGGACTCGGCCTTGCAAGCAAGGAATGAGACAGCTCAGGAAGTTGGAGCCATGGCTCTTTTCAATCTGGCTGTGAATAATAACAGGTACTTCTTTGTAAATCTTGATGTCTTGAATTTTGGACATTGTTTTCAACTACAGAGACGCGGGATAGAGGTTATATTGCAGTTTATAGGTGCTTATTATTAGAATGGATTATTATTAGAATAGATTATTATACACTGGAAGTTCTTATTCAATTTCACTATGCTGCTCTTCAGAAACAAGGACTTGATGCTGGAAGGAAAAGTGCTTGAATTGCTGGGAAGATGATCATTAATTGCAAATGTGCTGGAGCTGCAACAGCCCTTTACCTTAACCTGTCTTGCCTTGAAGAGGCCAAGCCCATTATTGGATCCAGTGAAGCTGTCCCTTTCTTGATTCAGGTTCTTCAGCATCAACCTGATGTACAATGTAGGCTTGATTCGCTCCATGCCCTTTATAATCTTTCTGGCACCAAGCCAATATCCCCCCTTCTATCAGCTGGTGTCATTGACAGTTTGCAAGTCCTTATCACAAATTCGGGTGACCATTCTTGGACAGAGAAATCCATTGCGGTTGTCATAAACTTGGCTGCAAGTAGATCAGCGCGTGAGGAAATCATATCTTCTTCTGGCCTTGTCAGTGGGCTTGCACTATTTTGGATGTTGGTGAGCCTGTTGAGCAGGAGCAAGCTGCTGCATGTCTTTTAATACTATGCAATGGCAATGAGAAGTGCAGTCAAATGGTCCTTCAAGAAGGAGTGATTCCTTCTTTGGTTTGTATTTCTGTAAATGGGACGACGAGAGGAAAACAGAAAGCTCAGAAGCTCTTAATGTTGTTTCGTGAGCAGAGGCAGCGGGAGCCATCAGCTGTCCAGGCTGCGCTGCAGCCTGAATGTAGTGAGATTCCCGTAACCACAGAAGATGCAAAACCACTATGCAAATCAGTTTCCAGAAGAAAAGTGGGAAGAGCCTGGAGTTTTTGGTGGAAGAACAAGAGTTTTTCTGTATACCAGTGTTAAGAGACTCTTCTTAGTTCCTTTGCTGACAATCTTGTACATTAAATCACGTATCTCTCCTTTGTATTAATTAGTTCTGTCCTATTCAATAGGCATCGTGTTTTCCAGTTTCCTGTTTCCCACAGAAGATATGTACAGGTTCCTGTAAGGCTATAGCCACTAAATTTTGCTTGCTTTATCTTCCTGATAGAATAGCGTACAACTACCCAAAAGTGAACCCTTAGTTGAAGTTTTAAAAGTGAATCTCCTGGTACTTAAAGAACGGGAGTCTGTAAATGATGTAAACTTGCATCGCGACCAATTGAAGAGTTAGATGGCATGCTATTCAAAGGGAAGGCGATCTTGTGAATTTTCCTTCATTATTTCTTAGATTTCTCTTTCACGTTGCCGTTGTGGTGTTGTTTGTTGAGCATGAGCTGGAAGTGAGTTGTTGCATCTTTCAATGAGTTGACGCAGGGAGGGATCGATTTCTTTGTTTGGGCCCTTCAATGCCTCCTTGTATCGCTGGCATAGTTATTATACCGGCTTGGAAAGGAACCCGCGAGGAGGGTTAATGGATCACTGATTTAATCAATGGATGAGTGGTTGAATTAGTGATCACTAAATATATTTAAATATTATGTTTTATAAATTTTGATATAAAATATATGATATAAATGTAATAAAAATGTCATAGTAAATGCTCATTCAATTTAATTCACTATAGAATAATTAATTCATATAAAATCAATAAAATATAAATTTATTTAGTAATCCACCAAATTTCAAGTGTAAAATTTTATCTGTATTTAGTATAATTATTAGCTTATTTATGAATTTTAAGTGCAAAAAATTATTAAAAACAATATTTGCCTTTAACATGAATTATGTAATATGTTATTTTTGAAATCCATTTTATAACTTATAGAGTTTGGAAGGTTATAAGTTTTTATTAAAAGATTCCAAATAAATTTGTTTTAGAGAAATTAAAAAAAAATAGAATTAATAAAACATTCATATATCATAAGAAAGTTACTCTACTAACATTTGGTAAGTGGCCTGGTGGTAACTATGCTCTAGTTATGTGCTTAAGTTCCCAAGTTTGAGTCTTAATAAAAGCTAACTAAAAATTTTTCCACAAAACTCGGTTTGTGAACAAAATTTGGTCGGTTTCGGTTGAATCGTTGAATTATTTACCAGTCAACGGTTCTTATGTTTAAACGTCTAATTAGAAACTCAGCTCAGCCCAATAGCTGGTTCATCTGGTTGATTGGTTTGATTGTCGGCCGGGCTGGGTTTATTGCTGGAATGCCATTTTAAAACTTCAATAGCTCATGTGTTTAACTTGCAACAAGCCCGTCTAGCTCAGTCGGTAGAGCGCAAGGCTCTTAACCTTGTGGTCGTGGGTTCGAGCCCCACGGTGGGCGTTATTAATTTTTTGGTCAATCGCAGCGCTTACTTACAAGTTGTGTCTCAGCATTTTCTATGTTGTCTTCTATGTCCAACCTCGTGGATTCTCCTGGCCCCTTCTTTCACACAAGACTTGTAATAAGCTCTTTTCCTTTCATTTCAACCACGCAATTGTTTTTGCTCCAAAAAAAAAAGGTATCAATTGTCACTTTGCTTGGGAAGTTAATTTTTCTCCCAACCTTTATTTGCTTTTCTTCATAGATTCTGCCAAGATTGTCGTTTGCGGAAGTTAAAAGTGTTCAGAAGCAGGGCGAATAATCAATTGTAAATAAAAAAAGCTTGTTAAAAAGAGCTTGTTTCATCAACGATTTGTAGGACAAATGCAACTCTGCATACAGTCCATATATCATAAAATGTACTATAAAAAACAACATTACAAGTTTCAGCACTGTAGAAATGCATGCGAACCGTAATCATGCTATATTCTGCGGCTGCTGATCAATGATCAGAACTAGGCAACTACCATGTTTCTCCTGGGTACTGTTTGGCAAATGAATTTTTTGGGTATTTGTCTAAAATTTTAACTGTAGCTTACTGTAAAAGTTATAAGAAAAATTTTTGAAATGTGTAAATTTTTGGATATTTTGAAGTGATAGTTTAAAAACTTCTAGGTTTTTTGAGATTATTGTAGCTAAAGTTGTTAAAAAACTTGTAGAAGACAAACTTGATCAAAAACTTGTTTGCCAAACGGGTATCTACCACGCAAATCATTTCAGGTGTGTTATCTGATTGCCATAGCAGCAATACCTTAATTTGATACTTACTGGATTTATTTCAGGTGCCAGCTTGCTTCGTATAGTTCTAAAATTGGATCATCCAGGTCAAATCCCGCAATGCTTTCCTGTAGGTCTTTCTCTCTGTCTATTTCAACTCCTCCTTCACTGATTGTGCTTCGAGGAGTTTCATATTGTGAGTTATTATGATTGTCCTCTTAGTTTCAGCATTTCCCTTTGTTCCCTTTTCAAGCATTTCCTTGTAACTGCACCTCATCTCATCTTGGAATGGCTTGTAGAAAGACCCCTTGGATAATTCTGGAGGTGACTGTATCTTCGTTGAGTTGACATTGTGCGATTTTTGGCATTTGAACGCAACCCTTTTCGCTTTCAAATTCTTTGGCCATTTCTCGTGAAGGATGAGATGTGGACATCGAAGGAAACTCATCATTCTCTTTGTGGGAGGCTGCCTTATCCATCGAAATGTCTAGCCCAGGTCCGGGATTGTTGCAGACTATATCAATCATTATATCCTTCTCTTGTGTATTCTTTGATCCCAATTCATCAGGTAGAGATTAGAAAATTTAGCCGTGATGAGATGCATCACTACCCAATCAAGAAATGGAACTTGGTGCATAATTATAGGGATTGCATTCATGGCATCGTCAAACCTTCCTGGTAAATATTCTGCATTGTAAACAAGCTTGTCAATCCCGTTGAATAAATGCGTTGATGGTGGAAAAATGTTTTCTACCATGTTTTCAATGGCTAGAATGTGATCATCAGCAAAGGACAAGATTGCTAGGCATTGATACTGCATAGAATATATAAACGGAAAGGTAGAACTGATGAATTTGGTTGTTTTTGTCGTCAATGATCCCATAGGTCCATTTAGTCCTGTGCTTTACCGCAGGCACTGTGAATAATGGCTAAAATTGACGCTACAAACGTATGTAATGGACGACGTCTCAACATCGTTCTGGCAGCGATTGTTGGTCCTGAGGGAATAAAAGCAGCTCTATTTACTTCTTCTACACAGATGACGAGGGCACATGCTACCATAAAATGAGAAGTTCTGAGTCAATATAGTTCAATCGAGCGCAGCGCTATGTTAAAGGTGTTAATTAAAGGGATCAAATTTGACCATCTCAGTTCCAATAACTCTTGAATGAAGGTGAGAAAGAACCAGTCAATCTTCCAAAGTTTCTACCTTATTGGTCTTATTCGCTTTGTAAGGAACGAGTCCAGGAAAATGGGAGGCTGTCATTTGTTTTGCTTTCTTAGATCATGACTGGCTTTTAGCATATCCGAGAAACTTGTACATCTCAGGCTAATTACAGTGATCAATTATGTTGCTTACATCTTTCTGGTGCTAAACATCACTTTTTTTTTTTTTCTGTTTTGAGGAGGTGGTGGAGCTTTTAAAAGGCATTTTCATGAGGAGAATATTCTATAAATGGATGGAATATTTGTAGTAATTTCAAAGTTTGAAACAAGACATTATGGTCTCTGTCTAAGTAATGACTGACGCATGCAAGTACCACAAATTTCAGATTTAGTTCTTTTTCCGATTTAGGTTTATTTAAATGTTGAGGTATACTTCACAACCAACATGCCAATAGCCAATTAGTGTGAACTCGATACTACTTCAAAAGATATTTATTACTAGTACTTTCGTATCCACACGATACAAAAGAAAGAAAAAGACGCAGAAGAAAAAGAAAGAAAGAAAGAAAGAAAGGAAGGGAAAAAAACAAAGAAAAGAACACAAGCTACATAAACAGATTGTAAATAAATGGAACCATCATATCCTGGATTTTCTGCTTCTCTTCCTCCTACTTCTCCTTGGTAACTTTACGTCCTCCTCTTTCTTGTTACCCTTAACTTCGTCCTCTTTGCCAATATTGGACTTGGCCTTTTCCTTCTTTTTCTTCTCAAGGAAAGCAACGAGTCCCGCAAGTACAAAGTCAATTTCTTCACTTTTCATGAGCTCTTCCGCAATCTCAGCAGCGGTTACCTCCACTTCTGCTATGAGCTCTTCAATTTCACTAAACCGTCGTGATCCTTCAAACCAAGATAATTGGAAGCCAAGATCCTGAATCCACCAGGAGTGCAATATGACAAATGAATATGCATGTCCATCCGTCCAGGCCTTAACAGTGCAGGATCCAGCCTTTCTTTGTAGTTGGTTGTGAACACAACTATTCTTTCATCACCGCAACTCGACCACAGCCCATCGATAAAATTCAGCAATCCTGATAATGTTAGCTGCCAGGCCAAATAAGATCAATTAATTTCTAAAGATATAGCACGATATTTCTTGGCTACATGCAGAGGAAGAAGACTCAGTAAAGGTGAAAGGCTTTTGAATAATAAATAAAGCTTTAAATAGAGGATCACCTGAATCTCACCACTGCATCTTCCGGATTGGCCAGCTTCTCTGTTCTGCATCTCAATGCTGCAATCAATGTCCTCAATGACAAGGATTGATCGGTTTTGAGTCGAAACCAGTAGACTTCTAAGGTCGTTGTTGCCTCGCACACTGGAAAGCTCCAAGTCATAGATGTGGAATTTGAGATAGTTCGCCATGGCAGCAACCAAGCTGGACTTGCCGGTTCCTGGAGGACCATACAACAAGTATCCTCTTTTCCAAGCCTTCCCAACCCTCTTATAGAAAGTCCTCCTCCTCACAAATCTATCCAAGTCCTGCATCAATTCTTTCTTAACCTCTGGATCCATTGCCAGCGTGTCAAACGTGGATGGATGTTGGAGATTAATAACCACGTACCAATTTCCACCCGAGTACAGCTTTATCACTTTGTTCTCTCCGTTGATGGCTTTCGATCTTTCAAGCACGTAGGGCAGGTAAGATCCTAATACCTTATCCTTGTGCTTCTTGTTAAAGAAAAGCTCAAACGATCGACGTTCCACCCTTTCAGAAGAGAAGTAGCCATCATAGTCGGTGCCAGTCTTCTGAGTCTCAGAGCAATTCAATCTCCAAACAAGCTGTATCCCCTCGAATACGTCAAAAGTTGTCTCGCCATCGCTTATGTTGACGGACAATTTCTCTGCTTTTGGCTCCTTCACTACCTTGAGCCGGTGGACCGACGGGCTTATGTTTCCTCTTAAATAAGTTTCACAAGCCTCGAACATCTCATTCGGGGTGATGCCATTGTGATCAGAATGGTTATACAC